CAGAATATCTTCTCCCTAACCAGCTTGGCATAAAATCTAACATATGTAAGGTCTGAAACTCGTTAGAGTTGGGTGTGATTTTTGAAATAAAAATGGCCCTATGCCAGGAAAGTGTTAAATTACTTCACTCCACTCTCAATTTTGACTGATTTCTTGGCCTGCATTGGTTTTTCCCCCCTCCAATTTTGATATGCTTATCCTCGGGTGTAATTTCACTCTCCTCTCCCACCTAATGAGAGGTCAAATCTGATTTGCAGGAAATTAGCTCCTTTATCTCAGCACATAATGCTTTCCAGACGCTTCCCCTCCCTCCTTTTACACATCACTTTGTCTTTCCTTGAGTTGTGTCTGCCAAGTGTTTCAGTTTTTACTGCCTGAAGCAGTGACCAAATTCAAATTTCCAATATTCCAGTGGCCTGATGAACAGGGTAACAATCATTTTGTGGGTACCGTTGCTAGACAATGCACTATAGGTAGTCCTCAACTTACAACAGTTCTTCTACTGTCTGTTCAAAGTTACAACAGCACTGAAAAGAATGACTTACAACCATTTTTCATACAACCATTGCAGGATCCCATGGTCAAATGCTTTACATTCAGATGATTGGGAACTGGTTCATATTTAGGACGGTTGCAGCAGCCCGGGGTAATGCAACCATCTTTTGCAATCCAACAACTGGGGTCATCGGGAAACCCAGATTCACTTAACTGTGTTACTAATTTAACAACTGCAGTGATTCACTTAACAAAGGTGGCAAGAAAAATTGTAAAATGCGACAAAACTCTCTTATCAAATTTCCCACTTAGCAAGATAAAGACCCCAAACAGACCGTGTGTGTAATCTAGGGGTTTTCCTGGACTCATGACTTCTGTTCGAAGAGCAGGTGGCACTCGGGGCCAGGAGGGCCTATGAGCAACTGCGGGTTGTGCACCAGTTACGCCCTTTCCTGGACCAAGGGTCCTTACTCACAGTCACTCATGCCCTGGTCACTTCCGGTCTTGATTATTGCAATGTGCTCTACGTGGGGCTGCCCTTGAAGAGCATCTGGAAGCTCCAGTTGGTGCAAAATGCAGCGGCCCGCATGGTTTTGTGCAGACCCCAGTGTGCACACATCACCTCCCCTGCAGGAGCTGCATTGGTTGCCAATTTGCTTCCGGGTGCAATTCAAGGTGCTGGTTGTCACCTTTAAAGCCCTTCATGGTCCGGGTTATCTGAGGGAATGTCTCTTGCTGGTCACATCTACCCGACCCATTAGAATGAGGAGGCAGGGAATGTTGCAGGTCCCACCCCTGAGGGAGATATACCTGGTAGGACCCAGAAGAAGGGCCTTCTCTGTGGTGGCTCCCTCTCTCTGGAATATCATTCCCCCAGAGATTAGAATGGCTCCCACTCTAGCACTCTTCCAGAAGGCACTGAAGACCTGGTTTTGCCAGCGGGCCTGGGGAACCCAGAGAGGGATGGAGCCCATCAAATGACTAGTGTGATCTGCTGTCATCCAGGCGGGGAGTGGGAGTTGTGAAATAGGTGGCAATATATAATAAATAAATAAATAAATAAATTCTGGGCTCAATTGTGGTCGGAAGTCAAGGATTACCTGTAGTCTGTGCTCATTAATGTGGCACGCAGAAAATGCCTAAGGAACTGTATGAGAGGAAATAAATTTTCATTGCTTTTCTATATGTTGGCATGAAGAGTGTCTAGTTTGACATGACTTATATGCCATGAAGGAAATGCATAGGCACTTATGAACATGTAAGAATACAATCTTCGACTTAACAACCAACTGAACCCCCAGTTTCTGTTGCTAAGCAAGGCAGATGCTAAGCAAGTGGTGCCCCATTTTATAACACGATTTGCCATGGTTGTTTAAAAATAACACTGAAGTTTTAAGTGAATTGTACAATTGTTAAGCGGACCTAGCTCCCCTCCCTCATTGACTTTGCTTGTCAGAAGTTCCCTAAGATCGCAAACAACAATCTGGGATCCTGGAAACATCATGAATGATGGTTGCCAAGCACCCAGTTTCTTATTGGGGATAAGACTTTGGGGATACTGCAGTGTTCATAAGTGTGAAAACTGGTCATGAGTCACTTTTTTTCAGTTCCGTTTTAAGTGATCCTTAAATAAATGGGGATATGGTAGGTCAAATTAAACGTTGTTACACACAATGAAAGCAAAAGGAATTTATATCTGAATCAGAAATCCTGGCCAAAGTGACCATGGCACAGATGGGTTGGATGAGAGCAAGAAGCAGCCAGATGTTGGACATTTCCAGGAAGACCAAGGCTTAATTTTACATCTTTCCCATTATGGATCAAAATAGCTTTTTAATAATATTTCTGAGACATCAGTAATATAGATGCAGTCTGTTTAACTTTCAATTAACACTGTAAGTTAATTTAGGTGTATGAAAAGTCTGGTGCTTATCAGGAGTAAATGCACCAGCAAACTGAATTAATGTCTTGGCTCTTTATGTTGTCTGTTTTTCTGGATCTGAAAACATCTTCCTACAGAAGAAGTAATAAAAAATGATGCTAGAATATGCTGAAATGGACAGACTTACAATGGAACTTAAAGACAAAGAAGAGTATTAACATGGACACATTGTATAATTGGATAAATAATAGAAGCAGAGATTAGTGTTAAATAAGGAAAGAAAATCAACAAAACACATATATATAGGGATAGGAGAAGATGTAAGAATAAACAATGTAAAGAAGTATATTTATGAACTGTATATGAATATAATACAAAGTGTATAAAGTGAGGATTGTAATAATATATCATGGTAGAAGACAATGGAGATAATTTGGCTGTATAATATGATGGAGAGATTATACTACACGATAGTTTTAGCTAGGATGTATAAACATAATGGGAAAGTGGGGGGGGAGGGGGAAGGGACTTGATGCAACCAGTACACAATAGTGTTGTATAGCTATAAACAGTTGTGTATATTAAAGAAAAATGTACAATAAAGCTTAATTTAAAAAAAACCACCTTCCTTCCTTCTAATCAAGTCAGAAGAATACCAATAGGATACTGATCTACTTAAGAAACCTTTTAGAAAAATAAAAGCAAAATCTCAAAAAACAATACAAAAAAGAGAGTAAGATGATGTCAATCAAATACTAAAATTCCTCCAATATTCCAAATATTCATAACCTCAAAAATGTACTCCTATTGAGGCAACTTGTGAATGCTTTTGAGGTGTGGCTTGGCCTTTCCGAGTATCTTGTGCTTTGCTGTGATTCTGTCATAGAAGGGTTGAACAGAAAACCCACATACTCGGCGAGTTAAATTGGAATTTCTTGCTCTCCCATGGTCTGTTTTTTTTTGTATCGCTCCAATTCCAGTATATGTGCTGTTGAAGCGAGCACAGTCTAGGCTTTTTTTTTCTATAGCAGCCAAATATTCTGTAGAAAAAAAAATCAAAACACTTTTAACTGTGTAATACATTTTAACAGAAACTTTGCCCAGTTTTGAAATACATTTTTTAAAATTAAATATCAATGTTCAGATTGTTATATATCTGCATAATACATTTAATTTTTTGGGGGTGGGGTGGGAGAGTCTGAAACAAAAAGCAATTTCATTGCTTAACACGCAAGAAATTTCTGTTCTACTGATTTATGTCCTGTGAGTATTTCCCATTATAATCTAATTTAGGAAACTGGATTAAGAGGGCTAATTGTATTGCTTAAGCTGATTCTTTGGCTTTGAACGTATTTTCCTTATTTCTTGCTGAATAATTACTTTTATTAAGCAAAAAAAATATTGCTTTAACATTGTTTTTTCTTGTGATTTTAAAAGCAGTTTTTGGAGGGGTTATAATTTAAGTCTGGTACAGAAAAAGCATTACTGTACCCAAAATGGTAATATACTTGTGCTCAAATTCCCCCTATTTCAATACATCTGTAAATTTGATCTGAACTATTTGGGAGTTTTAGTCCTTTGAAGACACCACCATTAAAGTTCTAAACAACTTTTGAAAAGTGATATCATCACAATGAGCTTTAGAATATTTTGAACCTTATTGTTTGAGTGCAAGAAAGAGATTTGGAATGACTGGAGGATATCGCTTTTGTTGTCATGCTAAGATCACATTCAGATCACTGTGAGGGTACTTGGCACCATTGTGATCTGCAGGGAAGAGAGACAAATTAAGATGATCTGTCCAAAGTGCCTTATGGATCCTCTAGATTCTCTGTGGGCATATTTGGAATTTTCAACAATCCGACAAGGCAATTGAATTGGGTATTTAGTTGATCTCTGGAATAAAGAAACAATGAAAACAGTTGGATTTCTCTGGAGAAACCACTCTCTGTATGCCAGTCTCTAATCAAGGGATGATTGATAGATGGAGCATCAGAGGGACTCCTGAAAAAATGAGGGAACATGACTGAACAAGGATACAAACCCATATCTGGGCCTATGGCATAGTTGTAATGGTGGCAAAACATCAATACTTCTCCGTTCTAACAGTAGGCATGGATCATCATTTGTTATCCCACAAGGTAAGCCATACTAAAAAAAAAGCCATATAAATTAAGATTACTTTGTTACTAAAGTGATAGTAACAGAATCTTGCAAATATGAATGTGCTTCTCACTTTATCTTCAGTTGAACCAGGATGGTCTTGTCGAGATGTTTTCTCAAGTTACTTTCTCGGTCCAGGTTCAAAGCCCACTTGTTGGTCCGTTGATATTATTGTATCATTCCTAATACTTCGAGCTATAATGAGATTTTTATACCTGTCTGGGAAGACACTGATCAGGTTAAGAAACAATTCTGTACTTCAGGAGGTCAACTTTTTTTTTTTTTTTTTGGTATTATCCTGTTTGAGAAATTGTCTGTTCTTAAGCCATCCCTGTCTTAAGCGAGTTTGCAAAGTCACTTAAGAGTTCCCTTCATAATGTAAGACACACACAGATTGATTTAATAAAATTTAAATGCATCAATTCACAATGGACCGAACAAAAGACACATTCAGTGCATATTTTGTGAAGTAATTTATTGCCCTCTCAAATAATTTTCCTCTTCACTGAACTCATGTCTGCTGAAGATAATAGAATAATTTAGTGAAAGTACAACTGACATCAGACATACATACACCTCATTAAGGCTTTCTATGTAGTCATCATTAAGTACAATCCCCTAGCATTTTCCAGTCATTCAACAGCATGAGTCCTTCCAAAACCGCAAACCATTTTTAAAAAAAAGCAAGGATCCATTATGAATATTCTCAGTTATAAAAAAAGAATAGTTGGGAAATACAAAATGCAAAGAAAGATAGCCAGTATTTGGGGGGTGGGGTGGGACTGAATGGAATACAGTATATTGTATTTGGTACCAAGGCCCTCATCATTGTATAATGGATGGCAGCATAATTAATATGCACACTTATATGCAAGCACAGAACATTCACCTAATTAAGAGAAACTGACCAATAGGCTCCCTTTATGAAAAATATTCAAATTGTAAAACTTCTCAGAATTTGCATCAGATTTGTATCAAACATTAAGGATCTCTTATCTACAAAACTGAATTGAAATACACTTTGACAGTCATTTGATCAGCCTACCAATTTATAAACTCTGCTTTGCTTGAAATTCCTTGTAATCAATATCCACGTAATACGGAATAGTGTTCAAATTAATGCCAATGCTGGGATGTTTTCCAGCATTTATCACACTTTGAAGAGATTAGGATGATGAAAAGTGATATGAGAAATCCATATTTCAATTCTTTATAAAAGGGAAAAATATTTAGAGACGTTCTAGCTTTTCATTTAAGAATTCTTCAACGCTATCTGTGTTCCATTTCAGGATGCTCAGTTCTTCGGCAATGTTCCCACTGTCGTCCAAGAGCTTCAGTACAGGATCAGAGCCACGCACATACTACAGAGGGAAAAAAATAATAATTCCAAGGTTACTGTCGGTTTGGATTAAAAACATTCAGCCTATTTTGAATGGTCAAACCTCATCTCCCTCGCTAAAGTTCAAATGTCAGTTTTATACTGAATTAATCATTGTAGCCTGTTGTAAATATGGATCTATTTATGTCATGAAAAAAAAGTCAAACATAGGCCTGTTCTGCTTTATCTATGGTCAAAATTGGATTAGTTAATTAATTCAAGTCTATGACACATTGCAAAAAAAATACCATCACCAGAGATGAAAATTAGATTCAGCAGAATTATCTGGACCTTGCCATTAAATAAAACAAAGTTGCACTTGGAGTAGAAAAGATAAAGAGCCCATTTGAAAATGCAATATTGAACATTCCACTTTTCTTCTATTCAATCCTTCCTTATAAGAAGTTGAAACAACTTAAAGCATAGAAATTTCCTATTTTTTTTTTTACCAAGCATAAAAGTATGACAACTGGAGGGGAAGAGCATAATAGATAATAACGCGTGTAAATACTACTTGTGCTTAAAATACATATTTTTGTGCTAACTTTGTGCAGTCTGATTTTGGAAGAGCTGTCTTGCTTGTGCTAACAGAGAGAGGTTTTCTGATGTTAAGATTACTCCTAACTTTTATATTATTTATTCAACTGAAAGCATTATTTTTATTAGGGAACTTCAATGGAAAATCTCTTAGCAACTGCACTCATGGTGTTAACAGAATCTGATCTAATACCATCCCATAAATAATATTCCAAAATAATTTTGTACATAGAAATATTGCCCTTATGTCTTTAAAATGTATAATGAATCAGTACAAGTTTATTCTGCATCAAGAAGGTATCAGTTCAACATTCTTGCCTCCTTAAAATTAAATTTCTTTTTTATACAAGTAACTACGTCAGTTGCTATTTTTGATTATTATTGATAAAGCTGATCATTTGCATCTTTAGATGCAAAATGTATACTTCAATTCTCTATATTCTGTCTGAATCTGTTTAATAGCCACCCTTCTACTACTAGTTCACCACAAAAAGGGGGACAAAAGGGAAAACACAGCAAGGAAGCTAAAAATTTTCAAATGTAACTATCAGCTAGCACTCTTTAGAGCTGGTAAACATTTTAAAAAAAGAAACATACTATGGTTATATCGCTTGTACAAATAAACAAGGTTTTATTCCCTGAGAAAGGAAACAAAATCACAAATAAGGGGAAAATGTACAAAGGGAAACAAACTATGAAAGAAAACCTGCTATACAAAGATTTTTGTTTTACCAAAACAGGTACTATGATTCATTCTGTATAAAAGCTGGAAACCCGGTGTTGGAATACAGATTTTCCTACCGAGAAAATCTTTGGACTTTCTCAATTTCCATTTTGCCCAGTGCACTATGATGTGTATATGCACATTCTTGTGGAATATGTTCTCAGCAAATGGTTAGAAAATGGCTGATCATGTTCCTGGCTTGTTTGGTTGAAATGCCATTCTCTATGCACACCAGGTTTCTAAATGTCTTATAACAGTCCATGCCAGACAAATATTTTATCAGTTTTTAATTAAAAATAAAATAAAAAGGCAGTGCCAAAACCAGTCAAAACCAGTCCTTACCTTAATCTGCAGTCCCCTGAACAGTTTGGGCTTGTCGCTCTTGACAAAAGCTACAATTCAAAGGAAAGAAAAAGACGTTCCAAATATTTCTTAATTCTTCCAGATAAATACTGTATCTGTTTTTAGACATTAAGGGATTTATATTTTTACATACCGATTTAAACATCTAATTGGAAGGCAAAAATGATTTTAGTATGCTACTCTGAACATTACATATTAAAGATAACTGAAGGAGGACAAATACCTCCTGAGGAAAATAGACAGCCAATGAATTTATGATTAGTTGGGGGGTGATTTTGTTATATTGCACTTTATCAATTTATTTGATTCTTTTTGTTAGTTTCTATTGTTTTAAATGTGGTTTCATATTCTATAAGCTGCGTTGAGTCACCATGGGCAAATAGGCGGCAATATAAATTCAACAAATAAATAATAATAAATAAATTAGTGCTACAGGATATGAAAAAAAAGGAGTCACTGACAGGTAGTCTTTGACTTAACAGCTCATTTAGTGATGTTTCAAAGTTACAATAGCACTGAAAAAGTGTTAACTTATTAACACTTTTCACAGTTGTGATCTTTGCAGAATCCTCATAACCATGTGATCAAAATTCAGATGCTTGGCAACTGGTTCATATTTATGACCGATGCTGTGTCCCAAAGATCACATGAGATCCCCTTTTGCAATGCAATGGAGAAGCCAGATTCACTTAACAGCCGAGTTACTGAGTTATTAGCTGCAGGGATTCACTTAACCACCATGGCAAGAAAGCTCATAAAATGGGGAAAACTCATTTAACAAATGTCTCACTTAACCACAGAAATTTTTGGCTCAATTGTGTTCACACTAATTCATTTTTCCTTACCTAATATGTTGATGCAATTCTTTTCCATGTTAAGAATTTTTTTACAAGCAGTCCTTGCCTAGCAACTGTTTTGAAATTATGATGTACCTTCCCAGAGCTACTTACGATCCTGTTCTGATGGTCTCATGCATTTGGGGAACTTGGCAACCAGCGCGGACTTGCAGTGTTCTGCAGTCACATGACTGCATTTTTTGTCAGGCTGGTTTCCAGCATTTACTGCTCTTTTCCAGCAAACAATGACCATTGAAGAAGAGATGGCTTTGTTTTAGGACCATGGTGTTCGCTTAGCAACCACAACCGCAATGACTGCACCCAAAAAAGCCGTAAAATTAGGCACGGTCACATGATGGCCCGCTTCATGACTGCCACAACTTACAGCTATAATTACAGGCTTAATTGCAGGTGTATGTTAAGCACTACCGATATCTATACTACCATGATTCTCCCAAAATAACATCTAGCCAAAAAATAAGCTCTAACTCGTATTTTGGGGCAAAAATTAATATAAGACCCAGTCTTATTTTCAGGGCTACATGGTATAGTATATTCATAACCATAGCATTCTAGTCTATTATCTTGGCCAATGTATGAGTGCTAAGTCACCTGCCTGTATAGAAAGCAGATAAGTAATATCAGGAAATCTGGGGCCCTGCATGTGTTAGCTATCTGGCTAGATTTGTATATAACACTAAACCATGACTTAACAAAGGTCTGATGAATAATCCAAAGCTATTTATTTCTTAAATTTACTTATAAGCCATGGAATTGTAATTGTCTCATAGCAGTCTTCAAAAAAAGAAAAGAAATAAAATTACCATTATTAATAAATCTAAATAACCAAACTAAGAAAAATAATCAAGAAACAATAATACATTAACAAATGAAAGCCAATTCCAGATGGCACTCAAACAATGTCTCAAATCCCTTTAAAAGAGTTCAATCTTCACAAACTTCTGGGAAACCATTGCTAAGAGGATCAAATCAGCTTTTAGAACAGGGGTCCCAGCTCCCAATCTGTGCATGCTAGCAACCGGTCCATGCAAACAAATGAAGCCCCACCGGGGGTGGGTGGATGGGGTTTGCAGGCAGCATACAAAGCCACGCCCCCTCTGGTCCGCAGAAAAACCTTTATCCACAGAACCAGGTACCAGTGCCCAAAAGGCTGGGGACCGCCGTTTTAGAGATGATGTTTCGCAACATTGGAAAAGAAGCTATGTTGCAAAAATTTTGGGGCGGGAGGCTCTTGTTCCCTTCATGTCACAAACATTAGCTGAATTTATATATAATGAAGTATGGTACATCAACCAGAATGGCTAAGTTCACACAGTACGCTAAATCAAATCCAAATAAATCCTATTATGTGTAATGCAATGAGTAAATTCAGCAACAATCTGGGAGATCAACATTAAGTTATCCAGATGAGATGCAAATTTGCTTTGTTGACTGAAGGATTAAAAGCTTGCAATGTTTATCACAGTGGTATGGAACATTTCATCAACTCAAAGATATTCTTTTGTAGACTCTCTTTTGCTTTTTTGGTGAACATTAGCAGACCAGATCTCACTATGCCAAGAACAAAATGAAGTAGAATTATAGAAATAACTTAATGCTGATCTCCAGCTCTGTCTGATGTCAATTCAAAATCTAAGACATATTGTAGAGTTGGCAGCTTCCTCACACTAGCAAAAATTAACTAAAGCACCTTCTGGATTAAAAAAAGGCAATAAACAACCTGCTTTATTATCTGCTAAGACATTCTCAAAATGTGATCTGAGGATGAGTAAGCAGCAGAGAATTTTAATTTAAAAAAGGAAAAATGATGTTAGATGAAAAGTGCCATTTCCACTACAATAAATAGAGATTTGATTGAAAGAAAACAGATATTTTTTCCTAGCACAGAAGCAATGAACCTGTGTCATAACAGCAACAGGTTAAAATGAGGAAATGCACGGAATTTACAAAAATATTTGTATAAAATGTTCCATGCATTTAACAGCTAGGTTCAAGTAGAAGTGATGCATGTCCATGTGTGAATGGAAGTTTTTGGAAGAAGGGGGAGGGAAGGAAGAGGAGGAGAAAGAGGAAGGCTATGTTTCTACTGTTGTCTACCAATTTATCATACAACAGACTGAACTTTTATTCAATTGATAGAACAGAGACAGAAAACAACGGGGCAATAAAAACGAATAAAAAGCTGGCAGAAATAAGGAGAAACCTCAGATGGGGTGCTCGTATAGCAGATGTTGGTAAAAAAAAAAACCTACAGTTCAGCTGTAAAAAAACAGAATTGGAGGGTTCACAGTTCAATGCTGAATCTGCACACTGCAGATCTATGTTGTATTTCTGGCATCTCCGGTTAAAAGAAGCACCAAGCAGATGATGAAGTATACTGCAGACAGCCATTTATTTAACCTTAAAATAACTAATTTTGTAACAAAAAAAATAATCTTGGCTAGATTCTATTTGAGAAGCAACTGCTTTAATTCCAGAAACTGCAAAAGACAAACCCAATTTGGTGGATCTGCAGAATACTGCTCAGCTAAAACAAAGGTTTGAATTTTTTTTAAAAAGTCATGATTTTTGTGAGAAGGAACATACTGCTGACTGTTGAGAAAATATTTCAAATCTCAGTACTACTTTCAGTTATTTTAAAAGATGAACTCAGCAAAGAGGGTTTTGCTTTCTTATAGCTCGCATTAAATAATTAAATGTTAATACACCACAGGCAGATCTTACTGCCCTACTCATTTAGCAATAGCTTTAAAGTTGCAATGGCATTGTAAAAGTAATTTTAAGAACCAGTCCTCACACTTACGACCATTATTACAACATATGTCATCACTCCAGTGCACTCTGCCCAAGACAACCTGCTGAAGATCTTGAGGTGAAGGACTCTAACTATTTCTCAGTGGCAGTGTGCTTTGGAGCACATTTTCTTCTGAGGCTCATGGGCTCTCTAACTTGCTGGCCTATAAGGCGCTTTAAGGGAGTTTATTCTGTAGGACTTTCAGACTAGTGACAAGGGCAGATTGCTTAAGATTATGTAGGGCTGATGTTTTGCTTTTGTTACTTTTTATTGGCTGATATTATTATTGTAGGTGACCTAAAATCTGTGGAGTGGAATGATGCAGAAGTTGCTATATGAATAAATGAAATGTTCATAGATGGGCAACTCAATTTGATACACCCAAAGGTGCTTTTCCAGGAGGCAACTGGACTTTGTTTTTTCTTTGAAGACATTTCGCTTCTCATTCTCATTTTGATGAGAAGTGAAATGTCTTTAAAAAAAAAACCATGAAGGTCCAGTTGCCTCCTGAAAAAGCACCTTTGGGACAACCATCACCTGGATGACTGAGAATCTCTGAAGAGTTTTATCTATACAACTTTTAGCTATTTAACACCCCTTGAATAGTGTAGGAATGGATTTCCAGAGGGTTAAAAAAAAAAGGCACACTACCCTGAGGACACTGACAAACCTCCAATGTTTCAAGGACCCTCTAAAAGGATACAAATGAGCAGCTGTCTGCAAGGAATATAAATCCTTCCATTCTCCACTATCCTGTCAGAGCTGAAGAAGCTTCTTGGATGAAAAGCGAAACGTCTTCAAAAAACAACAACAAAAAAAACCCAACAACCAAGGAAGTCCAGTTGCCTCCTGAAAAAGCACCTTTGGGACAATCATGACCTGGATGACTGAGAATCTCTACAGTCTCAACTTGATACAGCTATTCCTGTACCAAGATTTTCTAGTTAAACAGGAATAATAATTAAAAAAACATTAAAAAGAATCAATGTGCATTACAGAAAATGAATGTCCCAGTTTGGCAATATTCAGCAAAGAAACAAGTGGGTCCCACCAGACAAAAGTCAACTTAAAAAAAGAAAAAAGAAAAAAGGATAGAGCCTTGAGAATCTTGGCAATAGCAAGCTATATAGTCCAAAACAATCTAAAATATTCCATCTTTTGAAGCAACAGAATGACCTTCCCCTAGCCTCATGCTCAATTATAGTTATTCAAGTGACATGTAAGAAACAAAGCCAGCCAGAACAAAACCAGTAATTCTTCCCTAGGAAATGGCTGGCTGCAATTTAAGACCTTAGAGATGCTAAATAGAACCACTGTAACAAAATCCCTTATACCCAGCATTTCTTAGAAATCTTTTTAAACATTCGCAAAGCTAAATGTCTTCTCACTCCTGCTCTGCAACGTACAGGCGTGACCAGTGCTACTGTTTTCTTCTATTTCCGTTGTTTCTGACTCTGACTCTGACTCTGAAATTACTCTTTGTTATTTATTTATTTAATATTCGCGCCACTTCTCATATCAGGAATAATAGTACCCTGAAACAATCATTCTTACAGCCGCCAACAACCCCCTCCAACTCTGTTATCATGTTTCTAACAGCCAACTCTCAATTAGCATTGACAGAATGATTTGGCCTGAGAGATACTTTAAAAATAGTTGGGGCAAGGAAGGGAATGCTGGAAAGTGGGAGATAGAAAGCCATTTATACACTTATCTGTCTCCCTGTGGGTGCACAGGTACACCTATATAAAAACAAAATAGAACACGATGTGGATGTTTAAAAATCCACACATTATATGCATGTACATAAAGCTACTGCATTTTCAAGAGAAAAAACTCAAGGCCTGGCCAACCTCCCTCTCAATCCTTTTTCTGATTCAGTTTCTAACATCAAAGCGAAGAACAAAATGCACACCTCCCCATTCCTCTGATAAGGAAAAAAGAAAGTTGAAGAGTAATTGGCAGTTTTTAATTCAAGAAAGGAAACCTGAATCAGATGGGATGGAAAAATATTATTATATGGATTCTGGGAAAGGAGGGTTAAAGAAAACCCAAAACTGAACTGCAACTCCCATTAGACTTCATTATTGGCCATGCTTTCTAGTACTGATAAGAACAAGAGTACAGAATCTGGAGGAAATCCAAACTGAAATGACCATCCCTTATAAATGATTTGAGTATATATGCGTATTATATATAGGCATACTATGTCAGACTAGACTATTCCTTCAGGATCTAAATAAACGATGGGGTGTAAGGACACTGATTTTGGAAAAGAAATAATGCAATTTCACTTACCCTGAACCTGAGGGAACCTCCCCAATTTTCATCCACACACTTCAAGGATTGCTCCTGCATAGAGCTGCAAGAGATAAGCAACAAACAGTAATAATCCGATCCAACATTATTGCTCATCACGTGAAGCATCAATTTAACTTGATATATATTTATTTTTAATAGAAAAAATTACCAAGATAATTGACATATGTGCCTGAATTTTCTATTCAGGGATTTGGTTTACCATGAATAAAGAACATCTTAAATAAATCACTAAGTAATATTGTGCAAGATTGCACATTCTGCACATTACTGTTTAAAAAAAAATGCTGATGCTGTATTCATTTCACACAAAAAATTATGCAGAGCAAACATTCCCGTAGGTGACATTGAAACCCTGGGCAGATGTCTGGGGAAAAAAATTAGAAGGACAAGAGCTAACATACTTAATGAGAATATTAAGATGCCATTCCAGATTGAGTGAAAATCATACCATTGGATTCAGTTTATGCTATCAAAAATTCTGGCACTTTTATGATTTTTAAAACCATGGTAGGTTGATTTGAAAATTGCCTAAAAAGGGGGACGTAGCCACAGTAATACACAACTTGAATTTATTTCATTACAGTAGTATGTTCGGTGATCCGCTGAAGGGAGCATGGAAACTGCCACTAACACAGCATGAGAGTCTTGGTTGGTCGTCCTCGGGTTATGATGGTAATTGAGACTGGAATTTCCTTCACTAAAGGATGCAGTTATATAAAGCAGGGTGTTCACATGACTGTACTGTTTAGCAACATAGTTTTGGCAGTCCCTGTTGCCAACATTAAGCGACAGTCATATTAAATGAGGACCTTGCATGACCACTTTGTGGGAAGAGGCATTGAAATCACATCCAGGCATGATGTGATTGATAGGCAAGAGCCACAGTGGCGCAGTGGTTAGAATGCAATATGGCAGGCTACTTCTGCTGACTGCTGGCTACCTACAATTTGGCAGTTTGAATCTCACCAGATTCAAAGTTGACTCATCCTTCCAAGGTGGATAAAATGAGGACCCAGATTGCTGGGGGCAGTATGATGACTCTGTAAAAACCGCTTAGAGGACTGTAAAGCACTCTAAAGCGGTATATAAATCTAAGTGCTATTTTAAGAGCTACAGGTAGGTAGGTACTATGGAGTATGGGCGGGCAGGTACTCTAGGGAGGGCACTACAAAGTACAGGAGGGAATGAATGCTATGGGCTAGCACTATGGGGTGTGTTGTGGGTGGGCACTACAGAACATGGACAACTGGGAACTACAGAGTATGAGATCCCCAGGCTGCCGGGGGCTCCTTGCGAGAAAAAGCAGCAGGAAAAACCTGCGACCTGCTGATGGCTTCCCCATTGACTTTGCTTCTCGGAAGCAAGTGGGGAAGGTCCTAAATGACAACCACATGACTGCAGGGAACTGCAACCACCAATTGTGAGTTGTTAAGTTCCTGAATCATGATCATGGCACTGTGCGGAACATATGACAGCCACAATTTTGAGGACCAGTCGTAAGCCCCCTCACCCAGGACCATTTTAACTTGGAACGCTCACTGAATGAACGGGTTGTGGTTCCCCGGCAACAGGTTACGGACGGCTGATGTCTCGGAGAGAGAGGACTCGGATGAGGGGCCTGCATGTGATGCAGGGATGGGACCAGGACTGTCAGAGAGTGGAGTGCTGCCTTCGGAGCTTGGTGTGGTGTCAGGGGTTTTCGGTTCAATGTGTGAAGGGTGAAGGATGTGTGTTTGTGTTTATTTTCATGGTCATGATGTACACTGAAGATGGCATTTGATTTTGTTGTACGAGGTGCAGTGACAATAAACTAAACTAAACTAAACTAAACTAAACTAAAATTCCATTGATATCAGCTAGAAGGGGAAAGCTTATTCTTTTCAATTGCATTTGTCTGTGCCGGGATCAGTCTTTCCTTTAAACCTGACATTTACTATAGCTGACTCCGGTTTTCTCATTATTAAAATAAAAAAAAAGAAAGCATACAAACATTTTAAAACTAATTTTATCATAACTTAGGACTCTAAGCTTATATTTATTTCTATATTTCACTAAATGATCTCTTCTGAAACCCTGGCAGATTCATGAATAATGCATAAGGTAAACCAACTCCAAGAGAGCTTCGAATTCTGAGCTGAATGTTGATTGCAGGACCTGAGAGACTCATGATCAAATCCCTATTCAGCTATGAAACTACCAGAGTCATCTCAGAATATTCAGCGTTTTAACTATGCATCATCTACTGCATTGGACTGAGGCGAAAATAAAGTTAAGTAAATTTCGAAGGAGGAAGAGGAATAAAGTTCAAGCTAAGAATGAAACTGGGGTGAAAAGTCAAGAAACAAAGTCCTCTGGCCTTTCCTCATTCTACTGATAAAGGAGAATACAGGTAGTCCTCGACTTACAACAGTTCATTTAGTGACTGTTCAAAGTTACAAGGGCACAGAAAAAAGGGACTCAATGACGGTTGCAACATCTGTCACATGAAATTCACATGCAGTCACATGATCAAAATTCTGATGCTTGTCCACCGATTCCTATTTATGACGGTTGCAGTGATTCCCGATTCCCTCTTCCAACAAGCAAAGTCAATAGGGAAGCCAGGTTCACTTAACAGCCATGTTACTGACTTAACAAATGCAATGATTCATTCAACAACTGTGAAAAGAAAAATCATAAAATGGGTCAAACTCACTTAACAAATGTTTCACTTAGCAACAGAAATTTTGGTCTCAATTGTGGTCGTAACTCGAGGACTACCTGTCTTTGTAGCTCAAGTTTGAAAGGAGGAGTCCTTGGTGTCCTCTGAGTTTGGTTATTTTCTTGCAGATATTTCATTACCCAGATTAGGTAACATCCCCAGTGCTAGTAAGGAAATCTCATTCATTACCAGCACTGATGATGTTACCTTGTCTGGGTTAATGAAACATCTACAAGAAGACAACCAAGCTGAGAAAACACCAAGGACCCCTCATTTCCTAATCCCAGATTGAACCTATCACATTTCTAGCCTTATTAAAGGACCTCCTCCTCCTCCTCTTCCTCTTCTTCATAGGATCACTGACAACATGGTGGCTGACTATCAAGGCTTTATCTCTGACCTAATAGTTAAATTTTCTGGAGAATATCAACATTTTTATTTGGGAAGAAAGTATAAAAAATGAAGAACAATGGGAAGGACTACTCTCATTGACATAGCCATAACTAAGACAATCAGTCTGTTTTGCAATGACTACTATTTTGATAAAGCCTGCAGCAGAAGCCTAGAGGCATATGGTCTAAAGGAAACTAAGAATACTTTAGTATTCTTTAGTATTTAGTATTTAGTACTTTAGTATTCAGAATACTTTAAGGTGACAGCTATATTTTAATTACTGTAGTAGAAACCCTCCCATACTACCACCTCTTACAATACTAGACAACACAGTATCAACAGTAGAGACCTTCAAATTTCTAGGTTCTATCATATCACAAGACCTAAAATGGACACCTAACATCAAAAATGTCATCAAAAAAGCACAACAAAGAATGTTTTTTCTGAGCCAACTCAGAAAGCTCAAAGCTCAAACTGCCCAAGGAGCTGCTGATACAGTTCTACTGTATTGAGTCTATCATCTGCAGTTATTGAGTCTATCATCTGCATCTCTATAACTGTCTGGTTTGGTTCTGCAACCCAACAGGACAGACACAGACTTCAGAGGATATTTAGGACTGCAGAAAAAACAATTACTACTGTTGAGGAGAATGAGCGCATACAGGGAGACGTATAGAGAGTAGTGTTTGAATAATACACAGCACACAGATACACTGTACAGTAAATGTAGGTTTTTACTTCCAGAAAGTTTAAGCAAAGTTCAAAATAGGCACTCCAAAGTCATTCACAGGTTAAATCAGTCAGTTTTTTCAATCCAGGGATAATCCAAATATCAAAGTCCAGTGTCAAAAAACAGTTCAGTATCAGACTTACATTAAATCCAGGAATATCAGTCAATTAGAAGAAATGGAGGAATGGCAACTCTTTCCAACAGAAGGAAACAGAGATTCACTCTCTTCTGAGACTAAGGCCAAAACAAACCAGGTTTCTGGCTCCATCTTATAGCCGTTTGAGGAACCAAACCCAATTACCATTTTAGCATTCTCTTAAAGAGACAGTTTTAAAATGTTTATCCTGGTTTATATATTGTCCAACCCAAATACCTGTTAGGTGACTTACATTCCTAACAACTACCAACCTGCCTTCAATCAAGGACCTGTATACTGCACGAGTCAAAAAGAGGGCTGTGAAAATATTTACAGACCCCTCACATCCCGTATATAAACTGTTTCAACTCCTTCCCTCAAAACGCTATAGAGCACTGCACACCAGAACAACTAGTCACAAAAAAAGCCACCACTCTGCTAAACAAATAATTCCCTCAACACTGTCCAACTATTTACAAAATCTGCACTGCTATCACTATTAACCTTCTCATCACTCCTTATCACCCATCCCTTCCCACTTGTGACAGTATGACTGCAACTTTGTTGCTTGTATCCTTACGATTTTTTTAAAAATAAACTTTATTGAATTTTATTACATTAAAAACATTAACAAATCTATAATAACAGCTGTTTGTGGTGCTTATCGTGGAACAATCATTTGTGCAAAATTTACAAATATTAATTTGTGCATAATTATATTCTTATTTTATCTATATTCTATATTTAATAATTACTTATCCTTAGTCTGTCTCCAATCTATCCAGTTATACTATTGTTCCCATATCTTATAAAATATTGAAGATTCCTGATCTTTTAAACTCAGTGTTAATTTATCCATTTCAGCACAATTCATAACTTTTTGTAGTTCCTCTACAGATGTATATGGCTGTTTCCAACATTCGGCAAAGGCAATCCTGGCAGCAGTCAGCATGTGTAATAATAAGTATTTTGTACTCTTTACATATTTTTTTTTGAAGATCCCCAATAGGAAGATTTCTGGTACTAGGTCTAGTTGTTCATTGGTGATTTTCTGTAGCCAATTTTGAATTTTGAGCCAGT